TGCCCAGGGCCCCCCCGCTGCTCCCCAGGCCTGGAAGTCTCCCCACCTTCAGCTGTGCGGCGGCCCTCACCTGGGAAACGGAGTCAAGAGAGGAGGAATGTCGGCTCCATCCCACACCACCCGTTCCCCAGCACCAGGCCTGGAGTGGCCCCAAACTGAGACAAGAGGAAATAAAGAGAATCAAGCAAAGAGAGGCGGCGGGCGCCCCGGAGCCTGGAAGGCGCTACAGCAGTGCTGAGGAGCCAGGGACGGCCCCTGCTCCCACAGTGCCAGCAGGACCCCCAGAGGGTAAACGGAGGCACAGGAGGGGGCCCTAAGCCCTGAAACACGGGGCGTCGGCTTCAGGGCTCATACCTGGGCTCCCACACTTGAGAAGGGCTTCTGGCTACCTGGCTTTGATGGGGGCTCCCCGGCCCGCCGAGCAGGGGGGTCTGGCTCAGGGGAGCTGCTAGGGCCTGAGTCTGCAGGACAGAGACCCCTGTGGCCCCTCGGGGCTGCGGTGCCACCCAGAAGCTGAGTAGGACCCCCTAACTCAGGCATGGCCCCCCAAAGCTGAGCAGGCTCCTGAACCTCCCGGTCTTGCTCTAAGTGACGTCAGGGAGAGCCCAGCTCTGCGGACCCCACAGAGAGGCGAGGGACCCCGCCGTCCTCTCTGTACCAGGCCACTCTCCCTGTCCCCACCTTCCCCCACGTCAGCCCAAGGCCTGAGCCGGCCCTGCAATGGCTCCTGCAAGCCACCAGGACTGCACAGGCGGGAGGTGCTCAGGGCAAGGCCGCCACCCTTGTCAGGGTCTCCTTCCTGCTTCCTCTGCTTGACTAAACTTCCATCATGGATGGAATGAAGATTCTTCTGGAAACCCTCCAGGACTGGGGTGGGGCCACTGATCCTCACCAGAGGGCAGCCCGGGGAGCAGGAACCCTGAGCGGTGCACACTCGTGCCCTCCCCCAGGGGGCTCCAGCCTGGCCTGTGTGCGGAGTGGCCAGTCACTGGCCAGGGGTGGGGGACTTCTGGGTCCTGACATCCAGGGACAGGCCACTGGGCGGTGAGCGCCAGAGGTGCCCCCACTGCCACACGCCTGCTGCCAGGGGCGCTCTCCCTGCCTGGGCAAGGGACCCCGTCCACCTGTCCCGCCCTGTCCACTCTTGCCGGCATACCCCATTTGTCCGTCCTCCCTCCCCTTCCCTTCTTCTCCCTTTCCTTCCTTCCTTCCTTCCTTCCTTCCTTCCTTCCTTCCTTCCTTCTTCCATCCCACCCCCTCCCTTCCTGCCTTCCTTCCTTCTTTCCTTCCCTCCTTCCTTCCCTCCCTCCTTCCCTCTTTTGTCCTTCTCTCTCTCCTTCCCTCTTTCTTCCTTCCAACCTTCCCTCCCTGCCCTCCTTCCTTCCCTTCCTTCTTTCCCTTCCTCCCTCTTTCTTCCTTCCTGCCCCCACCCTGCCCAGTGTCCTCACTAGCAACAGGGTGGTCCTGACTTGCTGTGGCCGGTGGGCAGCTCTGTGAAAAGACGAAGCTGGGCCCCCGTGGAGGGGTCACAGGACCCCCAAGTCCACCCCCATGCTGGGGTGCTGCCATCCCTAGGTGAGGCCCCACCGGCTCTCCCAGGATGCCCATCTGCGGGCACTGTGCGTTCTGGGGCAGTGAGGGTCTGCAGGTGGGGGTGAGCGTGAGGAGAGAGCCTGGCTCCCTCCTCCCAGCCGCACGGGTGGGGGGGGCACGTCTCTGACTCAGAGTGCTGGCCCCATCAGCAGAGCTGGGCAGTGGCGGCCTTGTATTGAGAGACCCTGGACACTCAGTGCAGCCCCTGGGGGGCCTGGGGACCAGCGAGAGGCAGCAGGGGGTGGTGGCTGAGGGGCAAGTAAGGAGGAAGGGCAGATACCCCTACACTGGACTCCGCGCCCCACCCCACTCAGCCCCAGCCATCCACACACGGCCCAGCTGCTGCCTGTCCACAGCAGTGTCCCTGCCCCGTCCAGCCCCACCTGGCCCAGCCTGAAAGCGAGTCAGGGTGCAGGGTGCGAGCAAGGGAGCAGGGGCGGGACGGCTTCCGGAGAAAGGGCAGTAGGCATGCCTGCGTGGGCCTGTATGTGTGCCTGTGCTTGTATGTGCGTGCACTATGTGCATGTGTGTGACTATCTGTATGTGTGCCTAGATGTATGTGCATGTATGTATCCTTGCATGTGTGTGTGCCTGGATGTGTGTGCAAGTATGTGTTTATATGTGCTTATACTTGTGCATGTTTGTGTGTGCATGTATACTGCACCTACATACGTCTTACGTGTAGGTATGTGCGTGTGCCTGTACAGAGTATGTTTTTGTGTATATGTGCGCCTGTATGAGTCTGTATGGGGTGTGTGGAAGTGCATGTGTGCGTGTGAGTCTGTATGTGTGCACGCACACGCATGTCTGTGCCTGTGTGTGAGTACGCATCTGTGTGCCTGCACATGGGAGTCCCTTGGTGTGCAGGCTGGAGTATGTGTGTGTGTGCCCGTATGGTATGTGTACTTGCGTGGGGCATCCCCCCGCCCCCGTCCTGCGCCAGTAGGGACCTCAGCTGTCTGTCTGGATGCCAAGGGCTCAGACGAGTCAGCAGTTTTCAAGGCCCCGCCCCTCGCCCCTCCTTTTGCTGCCCGCCCCGCCCTCTTACGCCCCGCCCCTACGCCACACCACGCCCCGCCCTCTACGCCCCACCCTGCCTCTCCAGCCCCGCCCCGCCAACCCCGCTAGCCCCGCCCTACTCCGCCCCACTCCGCCTCGCCCACCCTCCAGCCCCGCCCCGTCCTCCTACACCCCGCTCTGCCTCTCCAGTCCCGGCCCGCCCACCCCGCTAGCCCCGCCCTGGTCCGCCCCGCCCACCATCCAGCCCCGCCCACCATCCAGCCCCGCCCCTCGAGCACACTAGCCCCGCCCTACTCCGCCCCACTCCGCCCCGCCCACCATCCAGCCCCGCCCTGCCTCTCCAGTCCCGCCCCGCCCACCCCGCTAGCCCCGCCCTGCTCCGCCCCGCCCACCATCCAGCCCCGCCCCTCGAGCACACTAGCCCCGCCCCACTCCGCCCCGCCCACCATCCAGCCCCGCCCCGCCCTCCTACACCCCACTCTGCCTCTCCAGTCCCGCCCCGCCCACCCCGCTAGCCCCGCCCCGCCCACCATCCAGCCCCGCCCCTCCAGCCCGCTAGCCCCGCCCCCCCGTCAGCCCCGCCCCGCCCCTCCAGCCCGCCCGCCGGAACGGCCGCTCCCCAGTCAGGCCCGAGCGGCCGCGGGCGCCGCAGAGCCGCCGTCGCGCCCCCCCGCCCACGAGGAGCCTTTTCGGGACCCTTCCCTGCCAGCGGCGGCGCGGGGCGGCTGCCCCCAAGCCGCCCGCGCGTTCACGGCCACGGGGCCCCGCGCCCGCGCGCGACCCGGCCCGGCTCCGAGGGGCAGGCAGCCGCTCGGAAGGTTCCAGAAGCCCGTCGGGCGCGGCGCGCTGGCGGCCGTGGGGCCGGGCGAGTGGGGGGGCCCGCCGGGAAGGGGCCGCCGCCGCGCCGCCGCCTCGTCCCCCGGCGCGACCCCGCCCCGCCGCGCCGCTCGCCCCCTGGTGGCCGCCGCCGCGAGCCGCGCCCCGTCAGCCGGCAGGTGTGGCCGCGCAGGCGACGGGCTCCGAGGCGCGGCGCCCCGGGAAAGCGACGCCCCTGGGGGCGAGGGACCCCCGCACCCCGTCCCCGTTCAGGCGGGGGACGGAACCCCCAGACCGGGGGCTGCGGGAGAACAGCCGCGCCGGGGGGAGGCGGCGAGGGGCCCTGTGGGGGAGGGGCCTGAGGGGAGAGCGGAGTCTGAGGGGAGAAGGGGGCTCTGAGGGGGCCCTGAGGGGAGAGAGAAGTCTGAGGAGGCGAAGAGGGCCCTGAGGGGGGAGAAAAGTCCTGAGGGGAGAAGGGGGCTCTGAGGGGGGAGGGGGTCCTGTGGGGGAAGAAGAGTCCTGAGGGGGTCCTGAGGGGAGAGAGGAGTCTGAGGGCAGAGGGCCCTGAGGGGCAGAGGACCCTGAGGAAAGAGGGGAGTCCTGACTGGGGGAGGGGGCTCTGAGGGGAGAGCAGAGTCTGAGGGGAGAAGGGGGCCCTGAGGGGAGAGAGAAGTCTGAGGAGGGGGAGAGGGCCCTGAGGGGGAGAAGAGTCCTGAGGGGAGAGAGGAGTGGGGGGGGCTGAGGGGCAGAGGACCCTGAGGGAAGAAGGGAGCCCTGACCGGGGAGGGGGCTCTGCGGGCAGAGGGGCCCCTCAGGGAGGAGTCCTCAGGGGCTGGGGGGCCCTGAGGTGGGAGGCCTGGAGGGAAAAGGGGCCCTGAGGATGGTGGGGAGAGGAACTTGTGAAGAAACTGAGGCTCCCCAGAGTCCAGGGGTGTCAGGACGAGAGCCCCCAGCTGCCCAGATCACCCCCCGCACGTGTCCCCTTCATGTTCCTGAGGGCGGCGGTGCCATGACATCGACACCCTCACGCTCAGCTCTGTGGGTGTCTGTGGGCTCGCAACACCACCCGCCCCATTTCCTCGCCCACCTCCTGACCCCGAGGAGGCCCTCCGCTGGCTCCAACCTGCCCCCCACCCCCGGGGGCCCGGCCCTGACACCTCTGACGACAAGAGCACAGCAAGCTCAGGGGCACAGGAAGTGGGCACCGGCCGCAGACCCGGATGGCAGAGGGGGAGACTGAGGCCCTCAGCAAGACTGAGCCAAGAGGGGGACGGGCCCTGGGAGCTGCGTGGGTGCCCACCTTGGGCGCACTCGGAAGTGAACTCAGCCTCCAGACCCCAGGCCGGGGCTCAGGGCCACACGGGGGCGGGGGTGGGGCAAACCAGTCAGGGAGCCAGCCCGGGCCAAGGCGGAACCTCATCTGTGCTCCAAGTCTGGGGCGGTCCAGGGCCCCCTCGGGCCGGTTGGACATGGAGCGGGAAGAGCGTGGCAGGGAAACTGAGTCCGCAGGGCGCGCTGCCCTGGAGAGACAGGCCACGCGGCGGCTGCCCCGGCCACAGCTCAGGCCTTACTTTTTCTGGAGCGCGAGAAGAAGCGGATGCCCCCGGGAGAGGTGGACGGGTTGGAGTTGGGCGAAGACTCTTTGGACGAGGAGCGGAAGATGCCGCTGAAGCTCATGCGGCGTGGGGAGCGCGGCGGCGACTCCTGGCAGAAGGGGAAGACGGTTTTGGGGGAGCTGGGGCTGGTCTTGGGCCTCACGGGAGCAGACACGGGGCTGGAGGGCCGGTGCTGGGGGCCTCGGGAGAAGAAGCCTTTGGAGGGGCTGCCCGAGCTGAAGACACTGTCCCCCTGCGGAGAGACAGACGGACGCCGCGGTCACGCCGGGCCTGGGGCACCGGCCCGCCGTGCCCAGTGTCCCCTCCCGCCATGGCGCCCAGAGCATGCCAGGCTCTGCCAGGAGCGGGGCCTCCGGGTGGCCGGGGTGGGGAGGCAGCACCTGGGGCCAGGGCAGAGCCCCCTCAGCCTACGGGCAGCCCATCTCGGCCTTTCCTCTCAAGGCTGTGCCGCGTCCTGCCAGCTGCAGGCGCAGGAGGGACGCTTGTCCCGTGACAGTTGGGGCTCCACCCGGAGCACCTCGGAGCACGGAGACCCACCGACGCCGGCGCCTCTTCCCTCCCGGCGAGTCTGACACTGACGCCCCCATCCCCCCCACCCCCGGGGAGCTGCTTCTGGGGACCCCGAGGGACGCGTCCAGTGGGAGCAAGGAAGGACACGTGGCCCTGACGTCCACCTGAGGGGCATCTGGCTTAGAGGGGCTCATCCAGGAAGGCCCAGGGTTCTGCCTGTCACTGCCGGGAGAGCGAATGTGCCGCTTTTCTTTACAGACTCCGCCCCCTTTCGGGGGCTCTCGAGCAGTGCTCACAGGCGAGTGTCAGCCAGCAGGGCCGGCTGCTCCCTGCAAGGTTCCAAAGGCCACACCCCGTGAAGCTTGGGGCTGGGCAGTGTCAGGGACTAAAACTGGCCTGGCACATGCCAGGAAGTCTCTCCTGGCCCCCACCCCCCACTTCTGTTCTGTGGGGTCACACAGAGTTATTCCTGACTCTGGCCGACTTCCGGAAGCGACCTGGATGCTGCATGCAGAGCCTGGCTCTGGCTTTTGTCCTTCTGTCCCCCTCTGCAGCAAAGCGGTGTTATGCGGATGCAGCCCCAAGGCCCCAGCCAGGGCCCGGGACAGGCTCCCAGTTCTGGGGCTGGATGTGGGGTCTGCCGGTCCCCACTTGCCGCGCTCTCCTGAAACACAGTGTCACCCGGAGGAGTGCCAGCATTCCTGCCAGTGGCTTCAGGAACTGACCTGGGAGCCTGGGGTGGGGGACCCCACAGTCCCCTGCTGCGTTTCTCCCCGGGGCCCAAGGCACCATGGCGGCCCTCAATGCTGCTGGACAGACCCGATCGCTGTATCCACACTCTGGGCCCAGGCCGCCCTCATCGCCCCTAAACTGCAGGCCTGGAAGGAGGGACCCGTGGGCAAGTGCCAAGGGACCGGACAGGGCTGGGACAATCCGGCTGGGTGAGACCCCGACTTCCCACAGGGCTGGGAAGGCCTATGACTGCTTTCACCTGTCCACTTGGGGACCCATCCACACCCCTGGGAGTTCACCACCACCAGAGGGTGCCACAGGCTGGCCTGTGGGTGCTGGAAGATTCCGGGGCTGGCGTGGAGAAGCGGCTTGATTGGGTGCTGCCTTGTGGGGTCCCAGTACTGGCTGCAAGGGGCAGGGGCACCCACACATCCCTGCAGCGTCTGGGCTGGCTCCCACCTCTGCCTCAGCAAGGAGCCCTGGCTGTACCACGTCTGCGCCCACGAGCCTCACTCAGGAAGCCCTGAGCTGGGTGCCTGAGAACAGCAGGTAGCCCTTGGGGGGGGGCCTGGAAGCCCCCACCATGTCCAGGTTCAGCCCCCCCTGCTGCCTCGTAGGGACCCCCGCCTTCAGTTACTAGTCGCAGGGCTTCATCCCCTTCTGCCTTGGCTCCCCCCGCCCAGGGTTCTGGGCCCCTAATGAGGAGCTGTGAGCGTGTAAGGGAGGTGGATGGCCGGGTGCAGGGGGGCGGCAGGGGAGGAAGGAGGCCGTGGAGTGGGGGGTCCCTGGCCTGTCTGCTGTGGGCATCAGCCCTGCTTCCTGCAGGGTCCCCAGGCCCGCGGCCCTTGAGGGAGCCAAGCGGGGGTGGAGAGGAAGAAGGAGGGCTGGTTCTTCCCTTGCACCCTCTGACAGGGCTGAGGACAGGGGGGCATCCTGAGGGGGATCTTTTCCTCTGCCCAGAGCTGGGGGCATGCGGAAGGGAGCCAGAGGGGGGCACAGGTGGGTGCAGGTAGGAGCAGAATTTCAGACGCAAGCACAAATGAGTATGTAGGTGGGGACTTGGTGGGAGCACAAGTGTATGTGCAGGTGGAAGCACAGGTGTGCATGCAGGTGGAACATAGGTGTGTGTACAGGTGGGAGCACAGGTGCACGTGCAGGTGGGAACACAGGTGCATGTGCAGGTGGAGCACAGGTGCACGTTAGGTGGGAGCACGATGTGTGTGCAGGTGGAGCACAGCTGTGTGCAGGTGTGTGTTCTGGTAGAGCACAGGTGTGTGTAGATGGGAGCACAGATGTAGATGCAGGTGGGAGCACAGGTGTGTGTACAGGTGGGAGCACAGGTGCATGTGCAGGTGGAGCACAGGTGTGTGTGCAGGTGTGTGCGCAGGTTGGTGCAGGTGGGAGCACAGGTTTATGTGTTGGTGGGAGCACAGGTGTGCGTGCAGGTGGAGCACAGGTGCGTTTATGTGCAGGTGGGAGTGCATCCGGGAGCACTGCCTTTGGTCTGGCTTGGTGGGCTCAGGAGAGCGGGGTGAGGGGCAGGGTCGGGGCGGGCGGAGTGGGGAAGGCTTACCTTCCGGGAATGCTTCTCGGAACTGTCCAGGTCTCCGTCCAGGAGCGGCATGGCGAAGGCACTCAGGTCCTAGGAGGGAAGCGGACCCTGGTCAGTCCCGAGCCCTCAGGCACCCCCTGGCCATGCCCATGTCATGCCCTTCCTGAGTCTTCCTCAAATGGCAGCTCTTTGGGGGTGGGGTTCCCAGTGGGGAGGGGGACTCCACGCCACATCCTTCAGAGGTGCCAGCGCTCGCTCTCACTCTCCGTGCGTCCTTCTGGGTGCATAGCCATGACCCGCAGCCCAGGAAGGCCAGGGAAGAGCCGGGGAGGCAGGCAGGGGCGTGGGAGGTGTCTCCGGGCTTAGGTGGGGCTGGTGACGGATTCTCACATTGGCAGGAAAACAGGACCCCTGAGGCGTGACCCCAGGATGTGGGAAAGTTCCGGCTGTGTGGGGGCTAGGCTGGGCCCTGGGTCCGGACAACTGGGAGGAAGGGAGGGGCACCCCACCCATTGTCCCCGAGAAAGACCATCATCCAGCCACCAGCTCCTTCCTCTGGCCTCTTGCCAGACGAGCACCCGCCATGGACAGGAGCCTCGGGAACTTGTCCTGGGCTCAGCCCACAGTCTGGGGGTCCGGCTTCTGGAGCCTGGCCCAGGACCCTGTGTTCACCCATGCAGTGCCCGTCAGAACCCCGCGTGCCTCTGTGTTGGCGTCCGAGGGGCCAGATGGACATGCCAGGCACAGGGCAGGGATAGGTTTGGGGGGTCTCTGGGCACGCTGGGAGGAGGCAGAGATTCTGGGACATGAGGGAGGAAGATCAGCCCCTTTGCCCCTCGCCCCAGACCAGGGCCCAGACACGCGCCGTGGGCAGCCCACTCTCCACCCATCTCCTCTGGCCCCACACAGGGCTGCTCCTGGTACCCACATGCAGAGCCTGCACTCTGCCCTTTGAGACAACTCCGGCCCTGGCCCAGGGGTATCCTTCTGGAACGTTCTGTGTGTGGGCCCCAGAGCAGACCACACATGGAAAGCCTCATGTCCCCGTGCAAATCCTGAGGGGTGCTGAGGCTCAGTGAGGCCAGGCTGCACCCACAGTTGGCCGTAGGACTGCAGGCCCTGTGCCAAGCTGACCCACCCCCGCCCTGCCCCACTCACACCCCCTGGCTCCACACTGCTTACAGCTCCTCCCCCCGAGTCAGCAGCAGGGAGGCCGGGGGGTCTGTGTTCCCAGCAGCCTGGAGCAGGGGAGGACGGGTCAGCACGGCTTCAGGCCCATGTCCCTCCCGGGGCCACCGCACACACGTCACGCTGACATCCCAGACTTCAGAGGTCCGCGTCATCGCCTGCTCCTCTCGGGCTGGGAAGGGTTGGCGGTCTTTGTGACAGCCTCGCCCCCTCCTGCCCGCAGCCCCCTGAGTCAGGTATTTCCTAACGCTCCCCACCAACCTCTCGGCCCTTCTTGTTACTCTGACCTGGACGAGCCCCCGGGGCTGGGGACAGCAGCTCGGCCCTCCCTTGTTGATGCAGCTGGGGCACCCCGGAATGAGCCCCGGCAGGGCCCCAGAGAAAGACGCATGGAAAAGCCGCACGCGTCAGGGGCTGCACCTGAGGGAACATTCCTCCCTGGGGTCACTCACTCCTGCCGAGCAGTGAGCACGCGCCTGGCCAGCTGGCTCTGGGCAGCCTAGGTCATGGGGTGTGGCTCCATGGGCACCCCCAGAGCCCCCAAGTCTCGGCACAGAGAACCAGGGCACACGCAGCGAGAAGCCGCGCTCAGCTGGTTGTCACTTTGGGGCACGGGTGACTGAGCTTGAGTCTCTGAAAGGCTCCCAAATGTTCTGGAAGATGCTTCTCAGTGCTCTCTGTTGACCTAATAGCAAGTGGGATCAGAGCCATGGAAAGAACTCGTGGGCGACAGAGCTCGCCCGGCCGCCATCAGCCCTGGGGACCCGCAGCTGTCCCATGTCTAGACAGCCGCAGCCTCCGAGGGCCAGGACAGCGCGTCCAGGCACACGGTCCTCCATGCTGCAGAGTGCCGGCGCCCAGCTGCCGGCGGCCCCCACCCAGTTCTGAGCAGCCACGGCCACCTGGGCTGCTCCGGCATGGCTAAGGTTTCTCAGTCTCCAGGACCTGGGACCCAGTGCCAGATGCACCCTTGTGGGACCTTCAGAGAGGGGCCCGGGAGCCATGGGGACTGCGGTCTCTTGGGCGGGGCCCCTGGTCACCGGCTCCCAGCTCTGTCGTGGCCCGCCTGTCTGCGCCCTGGCACGTGGACTTACGTTGTCCCTCAGAGAGGCCAGGGTGGCTGGTGGGGTGGGTGGACAGCACAGGACATCTCAGTCTAGCTGTCTCTGTGCGGTCTCCACATGGCATGGCAGGCCCACACGTGTGTGTGTGTGAATGCATATATGTGTGCATATGCATGGGTACATGTGCATGTATGCATTCGTACGAGCATGTGCGTGCTTACATGTGTAGAGATGTGTGCATGTGTGCACGGGCATGTGTATGTATGTGTGTGTGTGTACATGTGTGCACGTGCATGCGTGTGTCAGGTGGGGGCACATGGGGTCCCGTCCATTGCAGCCTTTCAGAAAGACCCGTGTCACGCAACCTCAGAAACAGGCGCAAACCCTGAGTCACTGGAACTGGGTCGGGGCAGGACCCGGCAGGCGGCCGAACCGAGACTCTGGGGCAGTTCCAGGATCTGTTTGCGGGCAGGATGCCGATGGGAGGAAGAGCGGCGTCCCCACAGCTCTGCGTCCGCTCACACGGCACCCAGGGTCCGGGACACACAGTGGGTGGCAGAAAGCAGAACTGGCCCTCCCCTGCACCTAGAGACGCCGGGTCAGCTGGCCCCGATCCTGCCCCAGGACACGTGTGGCTCCTCCATGGCAGCCATCACTCCCCCGCCAGTGAGGTAGGACCCCGAGGGTCTCTGTGCCCCGAAACATGCAGCCCAGGTGTCACACAGCCCTTCCCCGTGAGTGTCCACAGCCCACGGCGGGTGGTAGGCAGGAGGGGTCTTCCGGCTCCCCAGCAGGATGGATGGAGGCCAGCCGGGGCCATCTGGAGCCGCACAGTCCCCCACCCCCTCATTTCCGGCGCTCTGTCCGTGCCCATGATTTCCCTGCACACACCCCAGGGGCCAAAACGGCTGCTCTGGGCTTCCAAGAGGGGCTGAGTACCCATGGGAGAACGCTGGCCCCCAACTTGCGCCAGCATGCCAGAGCTCTTCGGGTGCAGCCTCACCTCCTGCTGGAGAGGGGAGAGACCCCCCCCAGGAGTGAGAGGGGAGCTGGCGAGTCTCCGGGGCCCGTGGGGGGCTACTGTGGTTGAGGACACAGTGACGGCTGGGCCCCGGTGATTCGGGGACGCTCTCCCGTCCAACCCCCGAGAGGCCTGGCCCGCAGTTCAGGATTTCCGGAGAGCGAATGAGCATGTCTAGAACCCCCAAACCTGAGGCTCCCCCATTTCTGCAGGTGCTGCGGCGGGTCCTGGGGTGCAGGGGCGTAGAGTGAGTGACAGCAGGGAGCAGCTGCTGCAGGAACGCGGCCCCTGTTCTCACAGAGACAGGCCCACGCGGCCACTGAGAGGAGCTGCAGCGAGGCCAGGCCCTTCTCCGTGCTGGGGTCCGAGGCCATCGCACTGCAGGGCCCTGCACGGCCATGCCCAATCTTCTGTCCTGGACGCGTTTTCGGGGGGCACGGGGAGATTTCAGGGGCCAGAGGGAGGCAGTGAGCTGGAATCTGCCAAGAGCATGTCCAACGGGCCCCTCTGATCTCTCAGTACTGTGTGCCCTGAAATCTGTGCAGTTGTGGGGTGTGCATGCTGCTGGGACGAACCCCCCACCCTCGGCCCCCGCAAACGCTGCTGCTCCCCGCCTTGTTTCAGAATGCTTTGAATCAAATCATTGTGAGTTACCAAGACATTCAGGTCCGAGTTTCAGTCGTGCAATGTTCGAGCTCCCGTCCCTTCACCAGTGTCCCCTCCACCGAGGTCCCCAGGTTCCTCCTGCCAGAGCCTGCCTCTATGGCAGGAACTTTTTCATTTTTCCCTTGTATTATTTCCTCTCTTTCAGGCACCAACTGTTACTGATCTGGATTATGCATCTCGCGTTTCCTCCTTCCAGCACCCAGTCCTGGTCCAGGGTGACCACGTCCCTATCACTGTCGCAGTGAGTGGGCCCTTCCCCAGAGGCAAGTTCCCCACTAAGGACCAGCTCTGCTGCTCCTCATCGCTGTCGTGGGCGTTAGTCACTCCCCTGCCATGTTTGTCTCCCGCACACAAGCCACCCAACTGTCCCTGTCCCTATGACTCATTTCACTCAGCACGAAACTCCCCCCCCCACCCCGTGCATCGTATAGTAACAGGCGCAACCCCCTCCGTCTGGATAGTAAGAGACGCAAACCCCGCCCGCCCTTCAGGTTAACAGGCAGAGACTTCCCCTGTCCATCTGATAGTAGCTGGACACACACCTTCTCCCTCCTTCCGGCCATGCTTCAACCCTTTCTCCCTGCAGGGCGGGCCTGGGGTCTCTGGTGGGGGCAGGGTCCAAGGAGCCGAGGGTGGGCATGTCTGTGCCTGGCGGTGCCTCTGCCTGCTTCCTGCTCCTGGTCACCTCCCGTGTCCAGAGCGGTTACCTTGGCCCCTGCAGGGCCTTGCAACACGACCCAGCCCCTGTGCTGGCATGAGCGAGAGCTGGGCCCCACAGAGGTCCCTGTGAGCTGAGTGGGGTCCCCACGCTCCCTGGAGAGGGGCAAGAAGAGGAAACCCTGCATGGAGTCGGCCCAGGAGACCCCGAGAGGATGGGGTGAAACACAGGGGCTGAAAGGGGGCCCAGCACCCACATTCTCACCACCAGGAACAGCCCCGCTCTGTCTCCTCCTGGTCCCCAGCACCCTTCACCACCCCACCTGCAGTTTGGGGGCTCGGGACCCCCGAGTTTGAAGCTCTTCTATCCAGATGGTTCTGAAGGTACCATGAGGCAGCCAGGATGCTCCAGAGAGCAGCCAGGAGAATCGGATGAACATGTGGGCTCTGCCTCTTGGAACCAGTCCAGGGAGCCACGAAGGGACCTAGTGTGG